CGAATTGTTTATGTGAGCATCAATACGTTCTATTATTATTGTAATGCCATACTTCAAATGCACTTGATTCTTATATTCACTCAAAATGTAAGAATTACGATAAGTACGTTACTAATTTGACTTAATTTTCATAAATTATCAACTTGAAACTAAGCAATACATTCATTCTTTGAATTTTCTCTAATGCACGCTTTTCTTGTATTTACTGACATAGTATTGCCGCTGTTCGGATTTTTCCATAATGAAATTCAAATATTATTTTAAAGTCGGTGTTTTGCCTTCAGAGTAAACTTTTGAAGTAAGTATCTTCATCATCTCGAATGATTGTAACTGTAACAATAATTAGGATGTCATTTAACAAATCTTAGCCTGTTAAACGTTTAATGTTCTCTAATTAAGTAGGAATATAAAACCACAAGAAATGGCGATAACCAGTTTCAAAATACACGCAGATTAATATTTAAATTAATTAAGTATGATGTAAATAGTTGAAATCCTTGAACAACTTTGAAGCGGAATACAAATAAATGCATCACTTCGGGATTGAATTTTTGATTGACAAATTATAGACTGATTCTGATTTGAATTTCACAATGGTTATTTTTTTACAGTTAGATAGATATAAAGTTAAATTCATGACTATTACGTGTCACTTTTAAATCTGCAGGCCAAAGATTATTTTAATGATGTTTATGTCGAATTCATTTCAAATTATTTTAAGTTTGATAATTACTTCTGTTGTGCTGATGTATATGGAATTGAGAAAGAAAAAAAAAAACAATTGAATCACACGAGTAAAGATTTCCGTTTTATTTCGAAGTAAGACAATTATTTAACATTTTTTATTTCTTACAATATCATAAATTTAATACGAAACATACTGAGTTTATAACGCAGTTCGACTAATTTATTTATTTACTGGTTTATTATATAGTGCGTTCAATAAAGATAAGAACACCCAATACTTTATGAACATCTTTATTGTTATTGGAGTTATTACATTATGATTGTTGTTATTTATTACTTTCATAAAGACAAACTTTTACACTAACAGATAAGATTCTAAATAAATCAGCAGCTAACTGTTTATAAAAAGTTACTTTTTTTGTGTTCGACAGTGATAGAAACACTTAAAAATTTAATTTTAATATATATATTAACTAAATATTTAATCCTTTTTGATTGAATATGTATGAAACCGACTAATTTAACTACTGACAATTATTTACTGTTATTGCAACTGTAATTTGTTGATTGTTTGAATAGAAAAACATTGTTAATACGAAAATGGCAACATGGATTAAGTTAACAATTGGTAAAAGTAATGATTTAAAAAATATAAAATAAATATTGATTTTGACGATAATGGTATCTTAAATATAAACTAATTTAGATTAATAACTAATAAAAATATTTAAATGATATTTTATTTGAGGTATATATTTCAAATGATTCTGATATTACTCTGAATGGAGTCGCAACAATAGTTGAAGATAATAAAAATCAAATAGATATGATAGTATCGTATAATTTACAAAATAAAAAAAATATATTAATAATAATGAAACAAATATAAATCTAAATGATCAAACCTTAATTAAATTTCTTATATTACTTTCATAAATCATCTCTATTTAACCTTTTTTTTCTTAACATTATATACAGTTGAAATACATTGAAAATCATCGCACCATTCAAAATTATTATTAAAATCATAGTTTCTTACTTTAAATGTTTTAAGTATTTCTATTACTTTATTAACATTTTTAAATAAAATTGTTCTACATAATTCATTATATTCCCAGTCATAGAAATAAAATAAATAAACGCGGTTTAATAATAGTTTTCGAACGATAGAGAGAACTGGAAAAACAACTCAGTCATTTATCCTTGTTAAAAATTTAAATGCTATAAATATAAAAGCTAAATACAGTAGAACCTCGATTATCCGGACTAATTGGGGATGAAGGTAGTCCGGATAAGGAAAAATCCGGATAATCGAAACAAATACTTTAATTTGTCTTTTAATGATAATACAACACGTTTTCTTTTCGATGACATATCGGTAATATTAAAAGTAAATACTGTATTTAAATC